TGAGCCACCGCGCCCGGCGTTTTTTGTATTTTTTTTAGTAGAGACGGGGTTTCACCGTGTTAGCCAGGATGGTCTCGATCTCCTGACCTCCTGATCCGCCCGTCTCGGCCTCCCAAAGTGCTGGGATTACAGGCTTGAGCCACCGCGCCCGGCCTAAGAAAATTTTATTCACAGTAAATTCCCAATGTGGGTTATTCTGAAGCACACATGCATAAACTTCAAGGTTTGTGAACTGCTCCTCTGCAAGTCACCTGTTCCCTCCAGTAGCAGTCAAAATCCTTCAACCAGGATCCTTCCAGGTGGTACCCCCCATTGCAAGGCATCTTCACAGGTTTGCATCTATACAAGTGGGAAGTTATCTACCGTATGTTGCAATTATATAGATCCTTTATGTCTTGAGACATGGTCTGGCCCTTTCGCCCAGGATGGAGTGTAGTTGTGCCATCACAGCTCAAGCGATCCTCCTGCCTCAGCCCCTATGAGTAGCTTGGACTATAGGCACAGTGCATGCCACCATGCCCACATTTTTTTTTTCTTTTTTTGAGATGGAGTTTCACTTTCATCGCCCAGGCTGGAGTACAATGGCACAATCTCGGCTCACTGCAACCTCTGCCTCCCAGGTTTGAGCGATTCTCCTGCCTCAGCCTCTTGAGTAGCTGGGACTACAGGAACGTGCCACCATGCCCAGCTGATTTTTATTCTTTTAGCAGAGACAGGGTTTCACCATGTTGGTCAGGCTGGTCTTGAACTCTTGACCTTAGGTGATCCGCCCACCTCAGCCTCCTAAAGTGCTGGGATTACAGGCGCTTGCGCCACCGCGCCCAGCACTTTTGTATTTTTTGTAGACAGGGTTTTGCCATGTTGCCCAGGCTGGTCTCAAACTCCTGGCCTTAAGTGGTCTGCACCTTGGCTTCCCGAAGTGCTGGGATTACAAGCATGGGCCACTCAGCAATTCCACTGGCACAAATTTACCTCCTGATCAGTATCAGTGAAGTTGACCAAAATATTTGTGTAAAGATATGTGTTACAGTGCTGTTTACAATAGCAAAAATAGACCTGGAAATTACCCTTTGGGACCAGGTTGAGTAAACCATGACACACCCACACAATGACACTGTAAGGGCAAAGACAAATCACTCTGAAATGATACAGAACACCAAGGTTTTGGGGTTTTTTTTGACACCCCATTGCCCAGGCTGGGGTGCAGTGACGCTGTCACAGCTCACTGCAGGCTTTCCCTCTCGTTGGGTTGGGGTGCTCCACCTCAGCCTGCCAGGTAGCTAGGACTTAGGACTACAGGCACGCGCCACCGTGCCCAGCTAATTTTTGTGTTTTTAGTAGAGACGGGGTTTCACCATGACGGCAAGGCTGGAAACTTTTATTTTTGAGATAGCATCTTGCGGGCCGGGCGCGGTGGCTCAAGTCTGTAATCCCAGCACTTTGGGAGGCCGAGACGGGCGGGTCACGAGGTCAGGAGATCGAGACCATCCTGGCTAACACGGTGAAACCCCATCTCTACTAAAAAATACAAAAAAAAACTAGCCGGGCGAGGTGAGGTGGCGGGCGCCTGTAGTCCCAGCTACTCGGGAGGCTGAGGCAGGAGAACGGCATAAACCCGGGAGGCGGAGCTTGCAGTGAGCTGAGATTCGGCCACTGCACCCCAGCCTGGGCAACAGAGCGAGACTCCCTCTCAAAAAAAAAAAAAAAGATAGCATCTTGCTCTATCACCCAGGTTGGAGTGCAGTGGTGTTATCACTGCAGTGTTAACCTCCCAGGCTCAACTGACCCACCTGCCTCAGCCTCCTGAGTAGCTGGGACTACAGGTGTTCTGCAAAACCCACCTCAACTTTTTTTGTAGTGACAAGGTTTCACCATGCTGCCCTGACTGGTCTTCACCTCCTGAGATCAAATTATCTGCCCCGCCTTGGCCTCCCCAAAGTGATGTGATTATAGGTGTGATGACCCACTGCACCCGACAGAGCTTGCCTGGGCAGTGCCCACTAAGAATGCCACTAAGCCTGCTGGATTTTCCTCAAAGACTCAATTGCTAGCACCATTCTCAGTCTGCAGCCCACCCTACTCCTCTCAGGTCTCTGTATGCCTCCAGAGGGCCTGCGACTGTGCCCAGGCCTGCTCGTGTCTCTTCAGGATAGACAGGGAGGAAAGCAGACATCCTGGAATGCCAGCAAGTGCTGTGTTTATTTTCCAAACAATTTTATTGAAATGTGTGTGCCAAGAGTACATGGGCAGCACAAATGAATGAACAGGAAAAAGAAAAAAAAAAAAAAATCACATGTACAGTAATTTTTTAAAAGTGAAGGTTAATCTTGGGAGATATCAGTTCCCCTCTCCCTCCCCCTGCAGACTTTCAGCGTTTCCATTAAGGTTAAGCCTCTAAGAACCTAGCATTAAAAAAACAAAACAAAACCAAAAAAGGAATACAAGATCTTTTGCAAATAACAAAAACAAAAAACAAAAAATGGCATAAAGGAAAGAGAAATGCCTTCCTGCTCAGATGGGACTCTTCCTAGGCACCTAATTAAGAGGCGTGCTGAGCGGTGGAGAAACACAACTTCAGAGTGTAAGGGTATGGACCATCTGAAAAGGAGAGAAAAGTTTGGTTGGGTCCCGTCTTTGGAGGCTCCCCAAACCCAGGTCCCCTCAATTTTGCACCCATCTCCCATTTTCTGCAGGTCAACTGCAGGGGTCTAGGAAGTGACTGCCCAACGTAAGGCTTCAAGATGAGCCAATTATTATCAATTATGCTCGGCATTTCTCCTTCTCTTCCCTCATTCCCATAGAGAATTCCATTCCTATCTCCTTTGCCAGCCCAAGGCAGTGGGCCTCTCCCAGCAAGTGGGTGGGCAAGTTTTACCTGCTGGATAGTGTTGCCTCTTTCCTAGGTAACAGAGTGGCTTTCCTACCTAAGCCAGTCTCTGATGCAAAGAGAGAATGCCACCTCCCTGGAGGACAAGCCTGAGCAACTCCCAAGCTGGCAGAGTGGCAGCAGGTAGTCAGGCTGGCTCTCTCCCATGAGGAGCACAGGCTGCTCTCCAGGTGAGCAGGTCCCACCTGCCCATGTCACCAGCAGTGAGAAGATCCCCGGGGTCCTATCTTAAGGGCAGGAAAGACATCCCTGGCCTGAAGCCAGCCAACCCATTAGGTCACCAGGTTGATGCCTGCAGGACTCACAGATACTCACTTGGGTTTTTCATCTGGTAATGGTTCAGGAAGCCCAGCGTCTCCAGGGCATCGCTCTTAGATTCCCACTCCAGCAGTCCAGAGGAGCTGCGCTCACCTGATTGCAAAGAGGAAAAGCAATGGTTTTAGACTGACCCAATGGGAACTAGGCAGCTGCCCACCAACCACCAAGTAACTAGGGGAAGGATATGGGCGCACTCGACTCACTTTTGCCTGAGAATACTTTCACAGAAGATGGCCGCTTCACTCCCAGCTCATCGCAGATCTGCAAAAGAAATAGGTAGTAAATGAACTCTGGAACAAAAGGGCCGTCACACAGGATTCAAGCAGACCAGGCCCTGCATGACTCAGTATTTGAAGTTTTCAGGAGAAAACTTGTAGATTTTATCACACACCCTAAAGGCATCCCAGCAACAATGCTCTTTAATTATTAAATTGCCTGAGACTGCAAGGCGGCTGCTGCTTCTTTTTTTCATCTCCGATTCTCAACAGCTATCTGGGCATCCGCACCGGGCTATTTGCACCGGGCTATTTGCTGAACGCAAGGCCAACGTTTCACACCACAGCCAGATCCACTTGAGTTCCTCCTCCCTTCCTGCTGCCTCAGTTGCCTGACTGAGCTTTACAGGGCCCCACCTTCTGATGGTATCAGGGTGATGGCACCCCAAGGCTCTGCCAATGCGGTTCTTGTGAAACTGGGCCCTCATCACTGGGCCTAGGAAGCAGCTTTCCCAGCAAAGAGGAGTTGCTCTGCTTGCCAAAAATGCAAGGAAGGAACGCGGCAAACGGTATTGCTAGGAACTTGGTGCCATTCTCACCCTTTCCAGTTTCAGAGCAGGGCTCTGTATCTGTCCTGGCCTCTGCTGTGTCCCTAGCACTCAACCCAGGGCCAGACAGCACAGGAGTTCAACAACTCTGCAAATAGGAGCTAGTTGCAGAAAAAACTGAAATGAATGGCCTACTCAGGCGGCCGTGGTGAGGACCTGACTGCCTGCGTAGTTCCACAGCACAAACCTCAAAGAAGTTCTCCTCGGTCACCTCCAGCGGGGCGTTGAAGAAGTGCAGCACATTGCTGGGGTGCTGGATGCGGTTCTTGGCTGCCTGCTCTGGGGTGGAGAACCGATTGTTCCGGGACTCACTGAAGTCTTTGTAACTGCAAGACCCGTCTTCCAACCCGTATGACTGACCGGGCATGATGGCTGGCTGCTTGGAGACACTGCAAGAGGGAAGAAAGGGGAGCCTTTGTCATACCCAAAGTTGTCCCCCAAGCTTTCCCCTGTGGCCTCCAGAGGCTCAGCTTGCCCTATGTGCCTTGGGGCATTGCTCTACAGCTGAGGCAACGCTGACCCACTTTCTCCTGTGGTGTCAGAGAAACATCTGGGAACACACCTGCCACACCCCATTTCTGCGTGAGTAAACACCTTGGCCTCACCATGCACCTCTGCTGGGCCCCGTTCCCCTCCTTTTCCCCTGTACCTCTGCCACCCTCCCTAGCCTGAGCACCTACCAGACATTCAGCTTCTGCCCAAACATAAAGTTGTTGTTGAGGTGGGTAATGGCCCGGTCCACAGCGTAGCCATCAGCCATCTCCACCATGGCGGCCCCTGGCTTGCTTTTCATGAATTTCACCTTGGGGAGAGTAGCTGCCGTCAGCACCTCCGTCCAGCTGCCAGGATCCCCTCTCCTGCCCCTCCCAAGTTAGTAATAATAACCCCTGCTCTAGCTCTGGGCTCCCATGTCCTCACAGTGAATCGGGACCACTAGAAAAATGTGCCTGGCCCATACCAAGTACTCAGCTCAAGGTGAGCAGCAGAGCCTGGGTCATGTTTTTAACTGTGGGACATAACCCAACACTAAGTCATTTAGTGGAGCACGACAGAAAACTGCAGGAATGAGAAATCACTTCAGCCATTTTCACCATTCTGCCTGTTACACACACGTTGTGATCTATAGATGGCTGTGTCTACGGTCACAAGGTCAAATACTCCTTCAGCTAGGTTACAATGGAGCAGTGCCGGCTCTGGAGCCAGGCGGTCTGACTCTGAGTCCCACTTCACTTAAAGGCTATGTCAACCCGGGTGGGTTATTTGAGGCCCCCGTCCTCCACTTCCCGCGTCCATCTCATTAAGAACTAATGTGAGAAATTACACAGGTCACTACATGTAAAGCACCTTTAACAGTACCTGGTAACTAACAACACTTCACCTGTGTTATGAACTACTCTAAGTAACGGGCCAAGTCAGGAGCTACACAAAGGCTCCCAAGACCCAGATGGGTTTAATATAAGGAAAACGTCACATGGTTTCAGGTAGACACTTAGCCACCACCAGCTGCAGTCAACTATCCCATGGGAAGGCAGAAGGCCTAGTGTTGCCAGGTCTTCAAGTTTTCAGGAGGAAATCCTTAAACGATAGTGTTTCACTATGATGGGTTCATTTTTATGTTTTATAAATCTATACTGATGTACTAGTATTAGTACTTTTATGTGATAAAGACTTTTTTTTAAACATTCGTAATTCAAAAACAAAACACCCACATGCAGTGAGGACCAAACAAAGCCCATCTGCAAGCAGGCTGCCTGGGCTCACTAAGTCACTCACTCCGGGCCTGCCCGCCCGGCGCCACGCCAGGCTCCCCCTGGTTCTTCCCCCTGTGCTGACTGGCAAGATACAAGGCTCAGTGAGGAACCCAGCGGGCCTGGCAGCAGCTCACCTTCTCCACATTGCCATACAAGCAGAAGACATTGAAGACTCGATCACAGTTCATCTTAGATTGATCCAAGCCATAGACCATGAGCACAGGGCTGTCGGCGTGAGGGCCATACTCGGGTGGTGGGGGAGGGGGTGGGGGGTGCCCATACTGGGGGCCGTAGCGACTTGGGCCCCGACGGTGACCCCCCACTGGTGGACCCATCCTTCTCCCTTCGTAGTGAGGTGGGGGGGGCCCGTAGCCCTCATCATGGTAATGGCTGTGGTACCCACCGTGGGGCCCTCCTGGGGGGTGGGAAGGAAAGAGAGGGAGGACGGGTGAGAATTTGCACGGCGGGCGGCGGGCAGGGGCACATGAGCCACGGGAGTCCACGGAGGGGAACCCCCTGCCCTCACCATATTCTGCGGGGTGATCTCCCAGGAGAGGGGGCTGCCTCTGGCGTTTGTTGGGGTTGCTGCCAGGGTCACCTGTGGACAGAGAAAACAGTTAGGAGTCTCACTCAGAAATTGGCCTCTCTCCCTCCCTCCTGACTGCACAGGCTGATGAGAGTCCCCCAGCTCCTGCAAACTGCAAGCCCCCCCCTTCCTCAAGGGCTGCGGGGCCTCCTTTTGTGATATGACCTATGGCGGGCATGAAGCCCGAGCCTCAAAGCTGGTGCCCACTCCTTCCCCCGCTCACACCAAAGGGTTGGTCTTGTTCTGTGAAGGACAAGGCCAGGTTCTGTGCTCTCACCTGCCCTGACCCTGGGAGAAAGCCTAGCTCCCAGGCCCTCTGGGGAACCTGCAGCTGCTACAGAAGGTGATATATTATGGAGAACCAAAAGCAGCTTTCTAAACTGACTCCCAATAAAGGGAGAGTAGATTAAAAACAGGAAAATAACCCAGGAGGGAAGCAAGCAAGCTTGCCCCCCAAAGCCCCCAAGGTTTTAGGAGCTCCAGACTGTCTCTGTAGATCCCTTCTTTCTTAATCCCAGTCCCCACTCCCTCCCAGTCCCGCCAGCCCAAGAGGGACTGACTGTAGGAGCTGACAAGCAGGGCAATGGCAAAATCAGTTCAAAGAAGCAATCATGTACAAGGTATCGACATTCCCACACCCAACAATGGCGCAGATCCACCCGACCCCAGCAGTTTGTAATCACTGCCGTTAACTTAGCGCTTAAGTGGCAGGCACTGGGCTAAGCGCTTTACAGACATCACAGCTTCTCAAATTCCTCACAACAACCCTATGAGGTAGGTTCTGATATTTCAGCCCCATTTTACAAATAAGAAGACTGAGTCATTAACTTCTAACTGAGCAGTTAAAAGACGCTTGGCCCAAAGTCACAAAGCAAGTCAGTGACTGAACCAGATTTGAACCCAGGTCTGGCTGACTCCAAAACCCAGGGCTCGAAACCACTGCCCTTTCCTGCCACCCGGCCTGGGTTTTGTTACCAGTCATTACAAAGATGGAAAAGGACTACTTACAGCAGAAGTACAGAGTACAATGTCCATTTGTCACAAAAAACAAATCTGTATTTTCTCTTACCATTGGACGCTTCAACAGTGAGTTAGCACAGTTCTGAAAGATGGCGTCCCATCAAACATACACTGCGACCCTGCATCACATGGTTTTACAGTCATAAATACAAGTCACGGTACACATCCGCTACAATTTTTTTAAAGAATTGTTTTAAAAGTCAGTATTTTGATTAAATCAAAAATGGCTCACAGATGTTCTGTCCTCAGAAGATATCAGAAAAGTGGAAATAAAGGTGTATGAAGTGGGTAGTGTCCCTCCGTGTTGTCACCTCCTCACATATGTGCTGCAGTGCGGTGGTGCGGTGCTTCTGGCTGTGTAGCGCTCCGTGTGCGTGTCTCCTGGTATGAGGTGTGCCAGTGGCCCCACTACGCTCGCGCTTTTGGCCTTGGGAGCGCACCTGGTTACCCGGCAGCAGGTAACTGTGTGCCTCTGAGCTGTTTGGCTGTCTGGTTTTAGGTCTGTTTTGTTTTTTTTTTTTGATTTTTTTTGTTGTGGTTAAATTTTTTTGTTTCTGATCTCCAGTTGGTGCAGATTATGTTGGCAGCCGGTGACTGCAGAAAAAATAAAAATATCAAAACAGAAAAAAAAGAAGGCCCTCCCCAAACCAAAGGACTTAAAAAACAAAACCCATATGGCGAGGAATGGAGAGAGGATCCTATTGTCTTGGAGGCCCATGGAATCTACTTCCGTCTATGAAACGTTCTCCGAAAAGAGCACCGCTCGCTGGCTGGCTGGGACAGCTCTGTTCTCTGTGTTTCCTACTTCTGTGTACATTCTCGGGTTCAAGTTTGCTTGGATTTTGACTTTTTTAATGTTTAATAAAAAAAGCAGTGTCTGCTGCCATGTTGCGTCTCTTTCTCTTTGTCTCTGTATGCCTCTGTCTCTGTGCTTGTAGCTGTTCCTTGGAGCGCGGTGTGGTGTTCTTGATGTAGTGAGCTCAAGTCTGCAGCTGTTTCTGGGGACGTGGTGGAGGCTGCATGTTCTGTTCTCTCCAGGAAGAGCTAGTGGTTTTCTACCCTGTGTGTTGGTGAGCAATGTGCAGAGGCAGAGCCGCTGAAGTATGGTTCCTGAGGGGTGGCGAAGCACCGCCCTCACTCCAGGTCACCTCATCAGCCCTCGTTTTTTTTTGGGCCCCAGCCTTGGGGCTGCCAAAGCTGAGAGGCATCAAAACCAATGCACAGCCAGCCCCCTGCCACTAGCCCCTGCCGGTCTGCACATCTTCTATTTATGTTCCTTGGAGAAGAAATGGTTGTTGCCATGTTTCTGTTAGCAGTCATGTAATGCCATTGCCCGCTCTGGTACATTCACTTGGTCACCAATTTGCCTCTGACCTTTGGAGGGAGCAGCCAGGCCCACAGGGCCCACTGTGAGGATCCTGGGGAGAGTCTAGCCCACCCTGCCCACTGCTTCCCAGATGCAAGGGCGAGCAAGACAGGCCTGCCTATGAATGGGGTGCTTTGGCCTCTCAGGGCCTGTGCGATGTCAGCATCGAGCCTCCTCCCTCAGCCCATGGCCTGGTCCGACGTATCAGACCAAGACAGACACAGAGATGGATGGTCTTGTTGGGGGGCTGCCGCTGTTTCTCACAGGCAATCCTCCACCTCTCCCTGCTACCAAAGGCAAACCATTCTTGACAGACACTAGGAAGGGGGTTGTCCATTTGGGCCACCTGCAGAGATGTTGCGTCCCCTCTACAAATGATGTGAGGCATGTCCGCCCTGGTCCAATCCAGAGTGTCTCACCTCCACAGGGTCAGCTTGCTCAAAGGCTCGCTGCAAGAGCCCGGGAGATCTCATTGCCCCCCACACTGCCACTCCCCCAAATCAGACCCTCTCAACAACGCAGAACAAGAGGACAATTCCTGGCCCAGCAAGAATGGAGTCAGTGACCCTAACCAGACTCTCAAAGGAGCCACTGCTGATTTCTAAGGCCACCCCCATGCCTCATCCTCAGTGAGGCCCTGCTCCCCACCCGTCCAGGCTTCTGCCTTGCCTCTGTATCCTGGGCAGCACCGGAAGGCCCCAAGCAGCAGTGAAGACCCAAGGAGGCCTCTCACGCCCCCTATCCCACTAGGATGTCCAAGAGCTGACCCCAAGGCCCTCCCATGTCCATGGGGAGCCCAATGGCATTACATAACCCTGAGCCCAGGCCTATGAAGTGCACTAGTCGAGTGAAGGCAAGGCAGGTATGTTTAGAACAAAGTGGCCATCAAGATTACCTTGTCCACTGAGATTGGGGTTTGTGTAGTCCCAAGTATCCTGATCATTCTTGAACACATTCAAGCGTGTAGGCTGCAAGGACAAGACAAGGCTTGAGGTCAGCCATGCCCCAGCTCACCTGGAAGCTGACGAGGGGCAGTCAGTCACCTCCCAGACGTACCTTTGCATATTCGATCTTCAGAGTGCAACAGCCAGAATAGATATCAGCCCCATTGAGAGAGGCTTTGGCCCGCTGGGCACTTTGAACAGAGTCAAATGTGAGTCAAGTTAAGGAAAGTCGCATCACAGGAGATCTTGGAGAAGGACTTCAAGTTACCCCAGAAAGGGATAAGGACAAGGTGGTATCCTAAGACTGTGGTACAGGTGGAGGCTTTGGGATTAGCTCACTGCCCAGTCACTAGCCTCAGGTTGAGAGACCAAAATGGTGTTGATGGACTCAATGCTGCCCTGGGTGAGCAGTTACTGGCCAGAGTTCTCTCATAATCTGCACCCCCACCCATGGCTACTAGCAACCTCTTCTGCCACACCACCTTCTCCATCTCAGCCCTCTGGCCCTTCGACTAAATCTGAAACAACCACCCAACTACAGCTCTGCCCTGAAAGTCCATCAGTGGCTTTTTCCTGCCTCTGCCCCAAGCATCGTATCGCTGTCTAGGATGCCCTAAAAACTTCTTCCAAACCCGTCTGCCAGCTACTCTGCGATCCTCAGATCTTTCAGTTTCTCCATCCAACACACAAGCTCCTTCTGACTTTACAACCTTTGCAGAGGCTGTTTCCTTCACCTTGAGTATCAGCTCCTATTTGCTCATAGAAATAGGACATCACGGCCGGGCGCGGTGGCTCAAGCCTGTAATCCCAGCACTTTGGGAGGCCGAGACGGGCGGATCATGAGGTCAGGAGATCGAGACCATCCTGGCTAATACGGTGAAACCCCGTCTCTACTACAAAATACAAAAAACTAGCCGGGCGAGATGGCGAGCGCCTGTAGTCCCAGCTACTCGGGAGGCTGAGGCAGGAGAATGAGCTTGCAGTGAGCTGAGATCAGGCCACTGCACTCCAGGCTGGGCGACAGAGCGAGACTCCGTCTCAAAAAAAAACCTCCTCAGAAACCTTCACACATGCTGCGCCTTTTTTTTTTTTTGGATATGGAGTCTCACTGTGTTGCCCAGGATGGAGTGCAGTGGCACACTCTCGGCTCACTGCAATCTCCGCCTTCCAGGCCCAAGCGATTCTCTTGCCTCGGCCTCCAGAGTAGCTGGGATTACATGCATTCACCACCATGCCTGATTAATTTTTGTATTATTAGAGACAGGGTTTCACCATGTTGGCCAGGCTGGTCTCAAACTCCTGACTTCAGGTGATCCGCCCGCCTCAGCTTCTGAAAGTGCTGGGATTGCAAGTATGAGCCACTACACCCGGCCCCACATCCCCTTTTAAATAAATTCCTCTTCCCAAGGGTACATTTTCTCACGACCTCTTGAGACTATGTTCCCCAGATCTTGGTCACTTGTATTTGGCTTAGAATAAACATCTTTAAAAATAAATTCCTAGCCTGGCGCGGTGGCTCACGCCTGTAATCCCACCACTTTGGGAGGATGAGGTGGGTGGATTGCCTGAGGTCAGTTCAAAACCAGCCTGGCCAACGTGAAACCACATCTCTACTAAAAATACAAAAAACTAGCTGGGCATGGTGGTAGGGGCCTATAATCCTACTAGGGAGGCTGAGGCAGGAGAATTGCTTGAACCTAGGAGGCAGAGGTTGCAGTGAGCCAGTATCGCGCCACTGCACTCCAGCCCAGGCAACAAGGGCTAAACTCCATCTCAAAATATAGATAAATAAAAAAAAGAAAACAAAAATAAATTCCTTTGTATCTCCTAATACATGCTCTCTCCCCTAAGATCTGCACGTCCACACAATATGCCTCATTCTTTAACAGCCTCCCCACTCAGTCACTGGGCTCTGTGAAGGCATCTGGTACGTGGCAGCCACTCCCATGGTCAGTAGACACGTGCTGGCTTAAAGAATGACCACTGTCAAGCCCTGCAAGAGTCCCTACCCTAAGGAACACCTATTTTCCAGCAAAGGATATTCCACCATCGCCTGAACTCCATTCTTCCTGAAAATGACAATTCTCTGGACAGGGCCACAAGGATTACAGATAGTGTAAAGAACATCCTGCAAAAGTAAACACAGGCAAGATGAAGAGGCACTGCCAGGTCAGTCTGGCTTAGGGGAGGGAATGAGAGGAGAAAAGGAAGAAGGGAGACCTCACAAGAAATGCCTGCTGGCACGCACCGTGGTGATCGAATAAATGGGGTTCAGGATGGTAAAGAGAAGCACACTGTTCACGCTCCGGGAGTCATCCGAGTCCCCGGGGCGGGAGATCTTCTGGCTGGTAGAGTAGTTGACAAAAGCTGGGTGACCGGCAATGTATATTTGGTTGTCGGCTGCGTAGTTCACTGCGTTGCAAGCCCCCAACACATCTTCAAACTCCACCAGTGCTTGTCTCTTTTTAGGCATTACCACCACATAGCTGGCAAAGAGAACACAGGCTTCAATCCTCTCAGGAAAATGGAGACAGGAGGAGGGTATCATTTGATTTTTTGAGAACTGACTCCTCCACAGCCTCTGGACTCCTCTGTGGCCCTATCATGGTTATGGTTCCCCAACCTGAACACCCCATGACACAAGTAGTACCAAAGGCCAAAGACGTCTAGCTGAGCTAGACCTCCTCTGGGAAGCCTTCCTGACCTCTCCTCACCACACTAACAGATGCTGCCCACAGGATGGCTTCTTGAGCTTACGCTCTCACAGTGTAAATCACTCTAGGAGAGCAACTTTCTAGGAGAAGGAATCCAGATACAGCTCACTACTGTATCTGCAGTATACAGCATGCACCAAATATTCAGTAACTACTTGCTGAATGAAAGAACACTGGCCAGGAGCAGTGGCTCATGCCACTAACCTTAAAACTTGGGATGGCTAGGTGGGCAGATTGCTTGGGCCCAGGAGTTTGAGACCAGCCTGGCCAACATGGCAAAGCCTTGCGTCTACAAAAAAATATAAAAATTAGCCAGGCATGGTGGTGCATGCCTGTAGTCCCAGCTACTCAGAAGGCTGAGGCAAAAGGATTGCCTGAACCTGGGTAAGACTGCGCCACTACACTCCAGCCTGGGCCACAGAGCGAAACCTTACTCTGTCTTAAAAAAAGAGAGAACACTGACGAGAAACTACAAGGCAAAGGAAAAAGGAAGGAAGGAAAAAGGATCATGGAACTTGCTGTAATCTGACAAAAAGTACAATGGCCAACCCAAAAGCAGAGGGGCCACAGAACCTAGACCAGTATGGCAACGAAATCACTACTTCCAACCAGAAATCGTGGACACACAAGGGCACCAAGAAGTCAACTCTGGAAGCCCAACTCCTGGCCTCCAAGCCCAGTACCTGATGGGTCCAAACTCCTGCAAGGCCTCCACAAGGTCAGCTTCCACCACACCGTCAATCAGGCCCCTGATGTGGACAACTGGGGAGGCAGGGGTTTTGTGCGGGTCATCGTAGTTCTCCTGAGAAAGGAAGCAAAAACAAGAATTCTTTTCTTGCTGTACAAGATGACGGCCCACTGGCCTTTGTGCTGTTGAAGACCCAGTCAGAAAAGACAGTTGGATGTCATCCAGGAAGGATGCACAGAACAGACGAAGGGCAGCATTGAAGTCAATCAGCCCAAAAGGACTCTGGGTCAGCAGAACAGTGGTCCTGAGTGGGTGGTCACTTGCCCTCTGGCTCTTGCTGTAGCTTCTGAGGAAGGCAGATGGAGAGAGGACCACACAAGTTCCAAATATTACGTTCTTCCAGGGACCCCCCTCTCTTCCCACTGGTCCACTTGACCAAGGAAACATGGGAAAAGAGTAGCTGGAGAAGGAGACACACTGGGAGGAAGGGCTCTGACGGCTATCTGCTACAGTTTGAATGAGGACATCCCCTTTGCATGTGCCCCAAATTCCTTGCCCTTTCACTGGCTCAGCCACCATCATCTAGCTAAGTACACCTGTTCGCCACCACTCACACCTAGGTTCAGTCAGGGCAAAAAACAACACGTGCCCCAGAAACTGCGGCAGCCAGGCCAGTCTTGACCCCTTCTCGTCTTGAATCACCCTCCCACCAAAATCTGCTTTGGAAATTACTGCCTAGGTCAGACCAAGGAAAAACAGGACAAGAAAGGTCTCTTATTTATTTTTTGAGATGGAGTCTCACTCTGTCACCCAGGATGGAGTGCTATGGCGTGATCTTGGTCTACTGCAACCTCCACCTCCCAGGTTCAAGCGATTCTCCTGCCTCAGCCTTCCAAGTAGCTGGAATTACAGGCCCCCGCCACCACACTCGGCTAATTTTTTTGAATTTTTAGTAGAGATGGTGTTTTGCCATGTTGGCCAGGCTGTTCTTGAATTCCTGACCTCAGGTGATCTGCCTGACTCAGCCTCCCAAGTGATGGGATTACAGGCATGAGCCCCCACACCCAGACGGAAGGTCTTTTAGAAAGACCCGAAACTCCAATCCATACCATTAAGAACCAAGACTGCTCCTTCCTAGAAGTATCTTACACCCATCCACAGATAAAAGCCTCTGGTCATCAGGAGGAAAATTAACTCTTTCACCTCTCCTGGGCTCTGGGACCAGTCCCTTGTCTGAGAATCACTGGGCAGAAGAGCGTGGAATGGAGGTAGAATTGGATTCTATTTCAGGAATGAACCACCCGAACCACAGGGGGAGGCACTCCCGCCAGGTTAGCAGCTCCCACAAATGGGAGTTCTAACTCCAGCCCTGCCCCTCACTAGCTGTGCCACCTACAGTAATTCACCTCATCTCTCTCTCGGCCAATTTCCTCCTCTGTAAATCGGGAATCCCAGTATCTCTCCCAACCTCACGGAGGAGCGTTAAGGACTTTCAATTAAGATGTCTTTAAAACGTGTGGGACAAGGCCTGACGAAGATTAAAACGCTAGCAACTCATAACCCCTAAATCCCAGAAAACCCTGCAAATGGGCTGCACTGGAAGACTTCAAGATCTTGGAAGGAGTGGGGACTGGGCCCCACTCCAAAAGCAACGACTAGTGTTTTCGGAGGAGTGATTACAAGGGATCGAAATTCCAGCACGGCCAGGGAACAGTTTCGTTTATCAAATCCTCGGTACCCAATGAATCCCCGGAACTTGTGATAGTTTCAAAGCTTCGCTCAACTCCTAAAAGGCTGAAAGTGCATTTAACAAATCCTCTTCCCAATTTCAATGTCTACAAAAGTAACGGAGATACTCTGTTCTAATATTTAAACTAAACACATCCATTGCTGTATAGAAACAAGGCTGGGCCTCAGAGATTAAGCTGCCATCGGACGTAATTCCCCACTCCAGAGGACAAGGCCGCCGCCCACCCGTTCCCGCTCACGAGGCGCTCCCCCAACCGCCCACGAGGCCGGGCGGGAGAACTGCGCCTGCGCATGGGGCCAGCGAAGAAAATGATAAAGGGGAAAAAAACCGGCCGGGCCTCGTGCCCGGCCCCCACACGCCAGCCCGCGGCGCCTGCGCCCTGGGCCGCTCGCCTCACGAGCTACTTCCTCCGCGCCCCCCCCCCACCCAGCTCCGGACCGCGCGCACGCGCAGGCGCCTGTCCTCGCGCAAACCCCGCCGTTTGCCCAACGGCCGCCCCTCCCCCACACCGTCAACGGCGCGATGGCCTGAGCGCGTGCGCAGAAGCCCCCTCAAAAAATAAAATGCCCTCAAGGTGGAAAATTGTCCCGCACTTTCCGGCCTTCCCGGCTCCTAGGGCCCTGGCCTCACCCCGCCGCCGCCGCCGCCCGCCGCCCCGGCTCCTCCACCGCCACCGCCGCCGCCTCCGTGCTGGTCGCCGGCGTTGTCAGTCTTGAGCCGCTTAGGGGCCCGGCCGCCCTCACTGCCGCCGCCGTAGTAGCGGCCACCGCCGCCTCCGCCGCCCGCCGCCGCCATCTTCACCATCGCTCCCGACCGCCTCCGCTGCTCGTCCGGCTGCTGCCTCTGCTCCAGCCGCCGACGCCGCTTCTCCGCCCGGGGCAGCAGCCTCCGCGACATGGCGGCGCAGAACCCGCCTCCCCCCGCCTCTCATTGGGGGAGGGACACGCCCGTCACCCGCCGCCCCCACCCGATAGGGGGAGCCACTGGTCCCGCCGCGGGGGGAGGGTAGGCCTCCACACGCCTTGCGCGCTTATTGGACATTGCCCACGCCGTTCTGCAGGAGGGCCCGCCCTTGTTTGTCTGAGACACTCTTTATAGGTGATCGCTTTCTGCCAGTCATTCCGTCGACCCCGCCGCCTTAAAATAAAATCCAATTTCATAGGTCGGATTTCTGGCGCGGGTGGCCTCCCTAAAAGCACCTGATAGGAGCGGCGCTCTAAACCTCCCAAGAATCCCCGCCTCCCTCCCACTTTCATTGGTCTCTTCGCTAATCCGTCAGTACCCAGTCACAAAGACTACCTTCCCGCGCCACTTCGCAGGGAGACGAGGAAGCCCCGCCCTTTTTTGGTCTCTCTCCAGTGGTTACTACAGATGCCCGTTCTTCTGCGTCTCCATTGATTGGTCAATGGAGAGTGGAGCGCACCCTCTCACCAGATGGTAGGACTACTGATACGCTCTGATTGGATAAAATGGGGAGCCCCACCCCAGGGTAGGCACTCTTTGGTGCGGTCTACGAAACCAGCGAAGGCGAGAAGGCATGCGCAAATATGCTTTCAGGCACCGCCCAGAGGCGGGGCCACCCCTCTAGAGAGTGACAGCCTGGAATACTCGGAGTATTTACGGAGCGGCCACTGTGTGTGCGCCGGAAGGTTAGACCAAGATTGACAGGAACTCCCAGGGTATCTCTGTCGCCATCACTATACCCTGTTCCTCTCTACCTCTAGGAAGAATTCTTAAAATCCCAAATCTGAGCCTTTTCCTCAGTATAAAACCACTCGCTGCTGCCGACTGTCTTCGGACCCTATCCAGTTCTAAATTCAGCCGCAACGCCTTTCGGTTTCCCTTGGGAGAAGGCTCTTCCGAGCACTCGCGATCTGTGCCCGTGCAGTCCCTTCCACCTGGGATAGTCCCTCCACTACCCCTCCTGCAGGAGCTAAGGGCCAAGTCATCTAGTCTGTGCGATCTAAATTCACAGGCCCCTGCCATCCCAGACCCCCAGCCGTAACTCGGGCCAGTGATTTTTACCTGACAGCTCGACCCCTCTGAGCACCACAGGAGGCCCTGGCCCCGACCTTGGAGAGGGTGGCCACCTACCAAGCGCCCAGTGCAAGCCCCCTGCACAGGGGAGGCGTTCTTGTGATCTATGCTTGCGTCAGACCTTTCTTCCTCAAGGGCGGGGTAAGACCACCCGCACTGCCCCGAGAGAATGTCGGAGGGTATCTCGACTCCAACTAAACCCAACTGGCGAAGCCTGGGGGTGGGGGAGACAAGCGCCCCAGTTATCACGCGCAAGCGGAGGGGTCAAACGGGGATTAACCCGGGATCCTGTCCTACGGAACATAACATTATGGGGCTGCCCGCGCCGGGTTGGCGGGGGGGAACACCTTATCGAAGCTATTGGCAAGTGACGATGTCGCCAAAGGGGGAAAAAAATAGCGAAGCTCCGCGTCGTGAGAAATGCGGGGGGCGCCTCAAAAGTGCTCCAGAACCTTTCCGCCTGGCTGATGGGGGCTTTCGAGTTGAGGTCCGGGTGGAAACTAAGTTTGAAATGGAGGCCGTGTGTGGTGGCTCACACCTGTAATCCCAGCACTTGGGGAGGCCGAGGCGGGAGGCTCGCTTGAGCCCCGGGGTTCGAGGTTGCAGTGAGCCGTGATCGCGCTCCTGCACTCCAGCCTGGGCGACGGAGCGAGACTCAATCTCAGAAAAAATGGGGTCTATGGCAATACAAGAGGGAGACAGGCGTGGTGGCTCTGCCGGTGAGGGAAAATAAAGTTGGGGGAGGGGGCCCTGCTGGGGACCTCGGTCAGCTCTCCCGGACGCCGGGAAGATCCGAACACGCTGACTGAACAGAGACGGAGGCGGGGCAGCGTCTGAAGCACGTGACCCGCGTGACGGGAGGAGGCGGGGCCGGTCGCGACGAAGGGCGGGGTCGCTCGGTCCTAACGTCAGAGGAATGCGGTGGGGGGAGGGGGAGAGAGGGGGCCCCTCCCCTCCCCGCCCCCGCGCCCGGCCCGGACGCCCCTCGCGCCGGCGCGCACGGCCGGAGCGCGGCGGTACGGTGTCCCCTGCGCCGCACGTTCCAGGCCGCCCGGCCGGCCTGGTGACCCGCACCCCCAGCGCTCCCGGCCGCCGCCCCGCCCCCACCCCGCTGCTCGGACCCCGGCCCCTGGTCGCGCGCGGCGCCGCCCGCCAGTGCCCCGGTCACCCTCCCGCACCCCTCGCCCCCAGCCCCTACCAGCTCGGCGGCGAGCCTGACCGGCCGTCCCGGATCGAAAAGAGCAGACACTGGGAAGTTTTGGGAGAGGGAGGGGCGGGCCTTAAAGGGACCACGACCTTTTTTCAGCCCCGTGGGAGGAAGAAAAATTGGGGGCAGGGGGCGCGGGAGCGGGGACACGGTAGGAGACCGAGGGTCGCCCCGCGGGGGAATGGAGGAAATCAGGCAAGAAAGGAGCGGGAAGACCTTGGAGCCGCGGTGTTCGGGCTCCGCGTCCCTTTTCCCCAAAAATCCACCCCCGCCCCCCGCAGACGGAAAGTCACGCAGTTGTTTGAGACTCGCGCATCTTTCCTCCTGGTCAGGCAACTGTTGTTTTGGCTGAGGCAAGTGTTTGGGGTGTACATTGCTCACATAAGGAAATGGGCTGAAGGGACGCAAGTGACTAACCCAGGATGCCACAGCTTGCAAGTGGCATGGCGGGGCTGGTCTGACGCTGGAGCAGACGCATCACCACTGCACTGCAGGGCCTATTAGGGTGATGGGGTAGGCTGTAGAGTTGGGGGGTTCAGAGCCGGGGAATGGAGCCACCCTACCGGGGTTCCAACGTGGAAGCTGCATTTACTGTCTGTGGCCTTAGGAAAGTAACTTAGCCTTCCTCATCCGTTGGGATGGCGGTAACAGCTTTGTCTGGATGGTCATGAGGAATGCAGAGAATGGAAACGGGACCTTAGAGGCCTACCCGCATTTCACAGTTGAAGTAAAAATGACCCAGAGGGTGGAAGAACCACGGAAAATTACCACAGCTGGGCAGCCTCTGAAAGAGCAAGTCGCTCCCGTTCTTAATCCACACAAAGCTTAATCTGACCCTTGCAGATCCTTGTAAACCCATGCCAGCCGGGCACGGTGGCTTCCCCTGTAATCCCAGCACTTGGGAGGCCGAGGTGGGCAGATGGCTTGAGGCCAGGAGCTCGTGACCAGCTTCGGCAACATGGTGAAACCTTCTCGCTACATAAAATACAAAAAATTAGCTGGGTATGGTGGCGTGCAACTGTATTCCCAGCTACTGAGGAGGCTGAGGCGGAAGGATCACTTGAGCCTAAGAGGTGGAGGCTGACAAAGCGAGACCCTGTCTCAGAAACAAACAAACGACACCAAAAAACAAAAAAAAAAAAAAAAAAAAAAAAAAAAAAAAAAAAAGTGACTGGGCACCGTGGCTCACGCCTCTAATCGTAGCACTTTGGGAGGCCGAGGCAGGAGAATCACTTGAGGTCAGGGGTTTGAGACCAGCCTGGCCAACATGGCGAAACCCGGTCTCTACTTAAAATACAAAAATGAGGCTGGTGTGGTGGCAGCCGCCTGTAATCCCAGCTACTCAGAATGCCGAGGCAGGAGAATTGCTTGAACCCCTGAGGTGGAGGTTGCAGTGAGCCGAGATTGTGTGTGCCACTGCACTCCAGCCTGGGCAACAGAGTGAGACTCTGTCTCAAAAAAAGCTGGGTGCGGTGGCTCACGCCTGTAATCCCAACACTTTGGGAGGCCGAGGCGAGCCAATCACGAGGTCAGGAGATCGAGACCATCGTGGATAAAACGGTGAAACCCTCTCTCTACTAAAAAAAAATACATAAAATTAGCTGGGCGTGTTGGCGGGTGCCTGTAGTCCCAGCTACTCGGGAGGCTGAGGCAGGAGAATAGCGTGAACCGAGATCATGCCACTGCACTCCAGCCTGGGCGACCAAGCCTGGGCGACGGAGCAAGATTCCGCCTTAAATAAATAAATAAAGAAATAAATATAATGCTGCTGTGAACATTCCTAGTGATATCTTCTTGTGTCCATGTGTGAGAGTTCTCAGGGCATGTAGGTAGGAGTGGGATTGCTGGGTCACCTAACATATTTTAACATTATTGGGTAGTAACAAATTGTTTTCCGATGTATCTATACCATATATTCCCACCAGCAGTATATGAGAAGGTCTCATTCTTTTTTTTTTTTTTTTCTTTTGAGACAAGAGTCTCAGTTTGTCCCCCAAGCTAGAATGCAGTGATGCATACACAGCTCACTGCAGCCTCGACCTCCCGGGCTCAAGTGATCCTACCACTTCAGCCTGGTGAGTAGCTGAGACGACAAGCACATGCCATCAGCCCTAATTTTTTTTTTTTTTTTTTTTTTTTTGAGATGGAGTCTCACTCTGTTGCCCAGGCTGGAGTGCAGGAGCGTGATCTCCACTCACTGCAACCTCTGCCTCCCAGGTTCAAGCGATTATCCTACCTCAACCTCCTGAGTAGCTGGAATTACAGGTACACGCCACCACACCAGGCTAATTTTTGTATTTTTAGTAGAGATGGGGTGTCACCATTTTGTCCAAGCTGGTCTCAACTGCTGGCCTCAAGTGATCTGCCCACCTTGGCCTCCTAAAGTGCTGGGATTACAGGCGTGAGCCACAGTGCCCAGCCACCCTAATTTTTTTTTTCTTTTTTCTTTTTTTTTTGGTAGAGGCCGGAGTCTCACTATGTTGCCCAGGGTAATCTTGAACTCCTGGGCTCAAGCAATCCTCCCACCTCAACCTCCCACAGTGTTAGGATTATAGATGTGAGCCATGGCACCCAGCCTAGGTTTCTCCTGCTGTTCTTTTCCAAAACTTCTTAAATTTTGATAGGTCTTTCTCCTTTTCCAATATAAGCACTGAGGCTCTCAATTTCCCTCTCCATTTTAATTTGGCTGCATTTTACAGAAAGGTGTTTTGGAACTTCCATTCTAATTTCTCTCAAACAGATGGCATTTTTAACTTATCTTGTTTGGATTGCTAAAATACTTTCAAGTTGGTACATTTTGCATTTTGAAAGATTTCGCCAAATTACCCTCCATTAGCACTGTAACAGTTTGAGTTCTTCTCAGCATTTCTATATAAAAAAGGAATTTTCCCCACTATCTCAAAATACTGCACATTTTTTTTTACATTTGTCAATCTGAGGTAAAAACTGGTTTTAATTTTCATTTACTTTATATTTACCTTATTGAATGACTCGTGTGTGTGTGTATGTGAATG